ATTGAAGCGCAACCACAATGTGAAAGGGTCTGGCGGATGTTGGCGGATTGGTGGCTGCCTAAGCCTGCTATGCTCCTCTGCTGGGGGGCTGCGCCTGGGGCCCTGACGTGGTGCTGATTTCGACGCATGGCCTTGGTCGCCGGCGGGCTGTCGAACCGTGGGATATGTTGGTGACTGGTCCCTAGTGCCTGCACCTGAACGTCTACGTGGGCCATCAGAATCCAAGCGAGAGCCAGCGCTGAGCAGGCACGAAAAGGCTGGTGGTGTGGCAGATGAAACATTTGCCGAGGTCAGCTGACATCGAGTGCTCTGGGGAGTGGCTGCGGGCAGGCGTTCGATAAGTTATTAAGTGCCACTGTGTCGAATGTGAGCGTTAGGTCCGTAGATAGGGATGGAGGGGCCGCTCGTCAGCTGCACCAAAGCAGAGAGACCTGGAGACCGTGGTCTGTGTGCGTGCGTTGGCCCCTGCGGCGTCCCCTTGTGTTGTGCAGTTGTTTGCTTTCCTTTTATCGTTGCATTGTTGGCGGACGGGGGATGGCACTGTGGCTCGTTGGAATTGTGATGGCTTCGAGCAGAGGGCGTTCTGACAACAAGTTCTGGCTGGGAATGGTGTCGACGGAGAGGGCACATCCACCAACGTGCTGATGCCATCGGCACACTCCCATCCCCCGTGCCCGACTCCATGTTCAGGTGTGCAATGCCCACAAAGCAAGCAGGGGATCCGCGCTCGACTCTCGAATCTTTTCAGACGTTAAAAAAAGGGTGGGGTTCGCCAAAGCAAGGAGTCAGGCGAATGGTGCGCCAGGCAATTTCCAACGACGTGGCATTCAGCATTCTATTCAGCTGCCTTCTGGCATTGTTTTCGGACTGCGATGGCACCACGTTCTTTATGGATGGCTAACAAGCGGTCACAAGGCACCAGGGCGTGTGGATTCTGGCGTGCTCGTTGGCGAATGGCCGGCACAGCGCAAGCACCAACAGTGGGTGTCTTCCGCACACCCCGACCTTGCACAGGATGATCCGGCCGCCACCTGTTTGACCAAGGGACATCTTCCTTCCACTGCCGCGGAAGTGGCCTTACTGACTCTCTGGGCAAACCATGCTGGCTAGGCTATTGGAATTTGATTCCACACAGCAATCCTGCGAGTGGCGGGCATTGGGACAGGCCGCGACATTGCCCTGAAGAGAGCTCAATTGCTCACGCGCAGGTCGAGATGGCTTCACATGCTTACACTTCCTGGGCACGGTTTCAACATGTCGAGGCGAGTACGAGTTTGCAGCAGATCGGCACACCGCACTGAGCGCATGGACCTTGGCAAGCCCACGGGAGGCACAGTCGTCGAGCAGCAAGTGTTGCTCCCCAAAACAAAAGCCGCTCGAGGGAGCAGGGCACAGGGAGGAGACCAACACATCCCACCACACCCCAACATCCAATCCATTAGATTCATCTGTAATATTACAGGCATGATCTAATACAATGCTTGCTCGCCGGCAAATGTCTCCCCACAAACTCTAGGCACAACTATTTGTGTTTCGTTCGCACCTTCTCAGGCGACTGGCGCTCGCCTTGTACTTAAAGCCCCCCTCAGCCAATACCTATCGCTGGCAGCGGCCAAACAAAACCTTGGGGCACCCCATGCTGCACCCCCAGGAACTCGCAAATGATATTTGATGAATTAGCATAAAGAATTCCATGCCGCACAGCGCCATTCCCCAACGCCTGGCGAAAGGCCCATACGTGTGCCGCATGCTCGATGTTTCTCAGAAAGCCTTTTTCTCCAACCCCTCTTCAACGAATGCAAACACGGTCACAGTCACTATGAGTTGCCAGCTGCCTCGAGCGCTGGCACAGTCTCTGAACTCCAAGGAAGCTACGCACAATCTCCAAGAAACCAACTCCAGGCCCCAAGCTGAACAGAGCCTCGTATAAATCTGGACGTCAAGAGGGATTCCCGCAAATTTCTTGCGCTTCTTCACGGCCGCCATGCCGCGCTCACCCCTGACGACCCAAATCCCAAACCTCAAAATCCGTAGTGCATCGACCCTTCTTTTGCGCACAGTCCGGCCACGAGAGACTCCAGCCCCACCCCCCGGCCGCCGCCAGGCAACCAAGCCCCCCCGCTGGGCAACTTAAGTTAGTGATTTCAGCCCCCCGCCCAGCCCCCGCCCCCGGTCGATCCTGCCCCATATAGAGGATCGCAAACTCGAGTGACTATCGAGAAAACACAACAAAGGGCGAATCGGCTCCGTCCTCCAGGCGCCGCCCGCACCACAAGCCCCCCTCCAAAATCGCACACCCGCAGCCAAAGTCGGCGTTGTGCAAATTGGCCTGAGCCCGGCGCTTCAAGCCACGGACGGCTTGAGGCCGATCTTCTCGGCCACCAGGCCGGGCACGCCGCCAGGCTGCATCTCCTGCTCCCCGAATATCCCCCTGGCCGTCCTGCCAATGTCCTCGTCCAGCACGTGCTGGAACTGGACGGCCAGGTTCATCTCGATCTGCCGCTGCCACAGCTGCCGCAGGGCGCCCACGAACTGACAGTCCAGCTCCCGGCGGTCGCCGGACGCCTGTGCGCAGGCGGCCACCACGCCGTCCGTGCGCTCGAGGGCGGACTGCAGCTGGGCCAGCGCGCGCATGGCGGAGGCGCCCCACGGGCGCTTCATCGTCTGCAGCTTGTCCAGCAGGGGCACGATCGCGGAGATGCACCTGGGGAGAAGGCAGGGTCTGTGAGATTATGGCATGATACCATGATACTATGGTGTGATATTTTGGCGTGGTCATGAGTAGGTGAGGGAAACGAGGGTCGCCGCAGCGCACCCCCTCCAAGGCAAGGTGCAAGCGCATGTGCGACTCTTTTCCATGCCGCGGTAACGTGATGCGAGTCTGCCGGCGCGAAGTGACTGAGCACACAAGGCATGCGGCACGAAGGCAAGGAAACATGGACTCGGCGGCCGACGGCAAGGTGGGGGATCGGTTCAGCGGTCGGTCGAGCCGTCGTGGGGGGCAAGGAGGCCCCAAGGGGCCCAGTCAGTCTGGGCACCGCCCGGTGGGGCTCGGGCGCAGTTAGTAATCGCTTCCGAACGGCAGAAAGGGAATGCTGTCATGGCGGCTTCGCTCTTTGCGGGGAGGACAAGGGCAGAGGGAGGGGGGCAAGCGCGCGCTCTGGACGCGAAGCGAGGGCCGAGAAGCTCGTCCCCAGCACCGCGATCCCTTACGGTCGCTCGTGATCCAACCAAAGTTCGAGATGCAGTGCCTCTGAGAGCCCTGACCCAATCTGCTCCCACACCTGCCGCTCGACGTCGGGGGGCCGCAGCGATCGACGAATTCCTCAATCGCGCCCCCGCCACCCTCCCCAAGCGCCCCCAGGCCCACCGCCTGGCCGATTTTCTGCTTGGTGGACGCACAGCGCGCAAGACGGCAGCCAAGACACAAAATCATCCAACAGACACTAACCGCCGCCAGAACGCGGAAAAGGATACCGATCGAAAGCCCGGCAGGGAAGTTGGGGAATCGAGTCCCATGCCCTGGCTGGGTAGGCGGAAGGGGACGCGCTAACAAGCGGCCGTAGACAGGGTGCCCAGCCGGCCTCACCTCCTCAGTCGATCGCAGTCCCGGAGGCCCGAGGCGTCCAGCCCGGCGTCGATGCTGGCCACGAGGGCCGAAGCACGGCGGAGGTCATCCATCACGCGTCCCCTGCGAGCCAGCGAACGTGTCAGTCACAGCAGCGCGGTCAGCGACACGCTGGCGGCGGGCCGCAACTGCACTGAGTTGGGATCCAACAAGAAGGAGTCAGCGCCCCTGGCGGTGTCCAGGGACCTCGCGAAGGTCGCCAGGATCGTCTCCAACGAGTGCACAGGGCCGCACGCGCAAGTATTGATTGGCGGCGCCGGCGTTCACGGTAGCTCACTGGCAAATCACGAGTGATGAAACCACGGCACTCGCGGAAACCGCAGCCGTGCAACGTCGAGCGCCGGCGGCGCGCAGGGCCATCGAGATCAGTGGATCACAACGGGCGGCGCGACCGGCAGGTCGATGCGCGCCCCCGGCGGGGCAGCAGGCGCCCCGCGACGCGCTCGAGATCCCGGAGGGCGGTGCGGCGCGGAAGCCGTCGGGCAACTGGGGCCCGGCAACAGGGCAACGCACTGTGCGGCGGAGGGACCCGCAATCGGCGCTGCGCTGGGGTTTAGCTGCCAGTCCGACGGCGCCGGCGGCGGGTGAGACTCACCGCGATTCCGGCTGGAGAGCCGAGGGGCGGGTGCGCGCGCTGCGGAGCAATGGCTGCGGTTCAAGGCAGTGGGTTTGGGTACCGAAAGTGGCGAACTTGTAGGGTTGGGCTTCCGTTCCGACCGGCCTCTCGTCGCGCCACGTCTCGGCGCCGTCAGGGCGGGCCAATCGGGCGGAGGGCGAAGCGCCCCGGTGGACGGACGCCGGGGCCGCATGTCGGGCGGGCTACTGATGGCGTGGCCGTCCAGTCACGTCATGGGGGTGGCTGCGGCCGGCAGCCGGTGGGCTGAGTCTGGCACCAGGGGCGGTGCCGGCCCGCCATTGGCGGTGGGAGCTTTGGACGGGCGCCGCTCCGGCGGGCACGCCCCACAGGCGTCAGGGCCGACCCGACCCGGGCCCCAAGGGGAGGGGGGGGAGCGGGGGGAAGCGAGGGAAGAGTGCTCAGCAGGGCGCGCGCGGCCGGCGAAGCGAGGGAGGAGGGATTCGCGGGTGCGTCGCGCCAAAGTTCTCACCCGGGGTTAGGCGAGGGCGCGCGATTGTGGCGGGGCATCGCACAGCGGGCACTGGGCCAAAGGGGGAGGGGCCGCGCGCCGGACGCGGCGGGGGCGTTTGGGGGGGAGAGCGGGCCCGTGCTGTGCTTCGGTTTTGATTGCCAGCCGTGGTTGATGGACGGGAAGTGGTGGTGCTCGGGGAGGGGAGGCGCGCGTGGTGTGGGCGACCGGCACCGGAGCCTCCGCGGGCCGTCCGCGGCAAGGGTCTTGGGGCGCTCCTCGCGCGGGCTTGTCAATCGCGGGGACGGCGCAGGCGTGACGGCCACGGGGACCTCACGGCACGCGCGCAGCGCCCCGCGGTTGCCACGGCGGCCCCCGCACCCGACGCCACCCCATCGCCTCGGCAATCAAACCGGAGCGCCCGCGGGCGGGAACCGCCAAGCCCTCGCTTGCCGTGGCGCCCCGCCATGCGCCGCCCGGAGGCCTGGAACCGGGCCCAGCCCACCCTGGCCACGGTTTGATATTCCGATCGAGAGCCAGGCGGGGCACGTCGATCGCCCCGCGGGCGCCCGTCGATCGACACCCGGCTCCCTGACCACGGCAGCGCCCAAGCGGTCCCACCATCGCGCGTCCTCACCTTGCTGCGGCCTTCCCGCTGGCTGTCGCCCTGTGAGAAGCCCCTGTGTTCCGACCGGCCTTGGCGCCTGCTGATGCAAGCCTCGCGCTCTGTGTGCGGCCGTCCGCGACTGGCTGAGGCGCTGTGGGGCCTTGCGCTCCGGGAACCCTTGTCCGGCGCGTGTGTTTGGCCGGTGTGCAGCGGGGGCAGCCGGAGAAAAAAGAGAGATTGGGGATAAGGTGCCGCACCCGCTGCGCGCCTTAATAACGCGCCCCTCGGCCTCCAATGGACCTCGCGACCGCCTTCCAAGTTTCCCCATGACTCACGGCCTCACTCGGGCGTCACCGCGGGGTGAACCCCCCGTCCGGCTTTGGCGGACTGGGCGGGAGGGTGATGTACGAGGGCGGCCGTCAAGGGATAATGTACGGGCGGGGCTCAGATATACATTGGAGCCGCCCAGGCGGGTCGAGGTGGCGCTGCCCGGGCTGAGGCGGGAGACGGCCGCAGGCGGACGCGGGGAAAGTGTGCGGCTTCCGCCGGGTTCATCCGGCTTCTGGCTGGGGATTGATGACGCAATCGAGCGTTGGTGTTGCTGGCCCTGGGCAGGAATGGACCGTTGGGGGCCGGCCAGCGTTCCTCCACCGAAAGGAACGGTGGCAACGGGAGACAAATTCGCCAATGGGGACAGGTGGACATATCTCGAGGGCGACGCGTATGGTCTGGTTTCGTTTTCTTGTGTGTGCGTGCGTGCGCGTGTGTGTTTTTGATACCAGAGCATTGAATGACATTCAGTGGCCAGGTGCCTCCCCCGTCCTGTGACAGGATACGCGGGCCTGTGTGTGGGCCTTTATGTGGGCCTATCACAAGATACGGTCTGGGTTTGCAGGGAGGGGCAGGGCGGCGCACACAGCCAGCAGCGTGAAAATGTGGAGCGACAGGGGCGCCGCGTTTTGGTGCATCTGGTGCAGCGGTTGGTCCAGCAGACGCGAGTGGCCGTGGACCGGCGGCGAGGATGAAAAGCACGGGCCCATCCTTCGCCCGACGCCGAACAGCCTGTGGGCGCGGCTGTGCTGGGGCGGTGGCTTTGGAGAGCGTTGTCGTTAGCCCTTGCAACAATCTGCATCATGCACCGGCACCAATCACCTTGGGATCCACCTGTGCATCAGGCAGTCGTTCTCAGCTCCCAATTCAGTTCAGGCGCAATCCGTGCCGCCCGTGGGGAGCATCCAATGAGCTGCATGAAACCTATTAACGATTGTTTCGACTAAAGCAGGACACCCGCAGGGAGCTCGCCAAAGCTCGTGCGCCCTTGTGCACAGCTTTGGAGCAGCCAAATTTCAGCCAATTTTCATCGGCACATGGCTTGGCAGGGAGAGCAGGAGGCTGCTTTGATCATGAGTCGTTAGGAGAAGCTCAGATTTAGGACCCTAACTCATGGCTTGTTCTGAATTACCCGCCTTATGAAAGATTAGTGTAGGCAGCAGGCGCTCCAATGCGTTGCTGTCAGAAGAGGATCGGCTGGGCGATGTGGCCTCATGAACGGGCGGCTTTCAGTCATTGAGCATCGGCAGCATATTGTACATTTCTCCCAGCCCCAGGGTGTGCCCCAGTCGTGGTGACATGGGAAATCGTGCTACCTAAGACGCGTTTTGGGTGGCATTTTCAAGGAGTCTTGGCGTCTACTATCGGCGACAGCAGACGCGGGAGAAGCAACCATCCTGCCCCATCCATCCTCCGCGGAAAGCGAGCAAAATTGCAGCCAGCGTGGCCAACGATCTGGTCGCCTCTCAACGCGTTGCACCACAATGGTACGGGATATGCAGCAATTGGTGTTTTCGGGACGCGGGCGCATTAAAGCGAAACGGGTACAATTTTGGCATGCCGCCGGCGGCCGGCCTCAGCCACAGGACGCGGGCACCGGGATGGAAACCACTGGATTCCATGCGCGCCGCGTGGCGCCTTCATGTACGGTAAACACCCTGAAAACGGCGCGCACCGGTACACATTGCATGATGGCATGGGTCGATGTTTTGTGTGACCATGGATTTCAGCGACCACGGGAGGCTCCGAAATTCATGGGCTTACCAATCGTGCCCTTACGATGAGCACGGCCCATGGTCATGCCGGGAGTCGCCGACGCCCCCATCACGCTCCCAAATTTGGTCACACTTTAAAGTGTGACTTCTCACTCAACCACCGGCCGCCTTGGCCGCTCACACTCACACGGCGCTACGTACGCCGCACAAACGCGGTGCACGGCTGCAGCGTCTTCGCGCAAAGCGATGCGAATATTGCGGGTTGGGTCGTGTGCGTCAAGCCCAGCACGGGAATCTCTGGCGTGCGGGCCGCCCCTCTCCAGGGCCGCGCCCCAGCGTGCCCCACGCGGTCCGCTCCCCGTCCGTCACCAAATCGGCCTCTTCGCCCCACCCACACTTGTCACATGAAGCCCCCTTCACCACGGAAGTCCCAATTGTGCCCCTTGCCTCGTCAGGCGGAGCTGGAACCATTGGAACGCCCGCCCCCTGCCGCGGACGTCCATGCGCCGGGCGCATTTCTGCGCATTTGCGCACGAGGCCGATTGGTCCCCACGCGCGGCTGGCCTCGTCGACGCTGGGTGCCGCCACCGCTTCGCCACAATCGCGTCGAGCAGAGCACATGCCGCGTGCACGGTGCCGGCGTGCGCGGTGCCCCGTGCGAGTGAGCGCCGGTGAATTGGCACCCAATTGTCATCCGATCCGTCTGCAGATGCCGGTCAACTTGTTTGGGGACCCCGGTTGCTGACTGCTGCGACTGCAAGGCGCCCGCGTCGAGCAGCGCGCTGTGAATCTCGGGAGACAGGATTTCGAAATCCTGGTGGGGCCGTGAACATGAGCGGGTCGTTCTCAGACGCCTGATTGCGCCCGTGCGTCCGCGGTCGCAGGGATTTGTTCCTGTGACACACAGCCCGCGCGGAGCGCGCCCTCAAACAGCCGCGTCGGGGAGCTGTCAAACAGCCGCGGGAAGGGCCGCCGATGATGGCGTGCGTTGTGTCGGCGACCTGTTGAACAGGAACGCACCTGTGTGAAACAGCTATAGATACTTCAATACCCACGCCCTAGCCAGGTGCACACCTCGGCGTGCTGCGCGCCATGTTCCGCCCGCGAGGGCGCTGCGGGCATACGCCTCGCGGTGGATCGGAGCAGGCTGCTAGCTGCACAAGTACAGCATCGGTCAAAATACACGCTATCCAATCGTGTCAAAATCGTGTAAAACCGCGTCAGAACGTGCAAAATTCATGTACACTCACTCAATCGTTACTACACGGTTTGGGCCCATTTTCGCAAGAAAAACACACGATTTAACACTATTTTCAATCGTGTTACACAGTACACGATTTTCACAACCGTGCATTTTGGCCTGTTTTCGCTAGCGCTGGTGGGTGCCGTGGAAGGCGCGCAGCGAAGAGCTCGGGGGGACGGGAAGGGTGCTCAATAAGGATCCTTGGGCATTTCTTGGGATGTCTTTTGTGCCCGACGGCACTGCGAGCAACATCAGACGGTCGCTTCCTGTGTTGGATCCAACGCCTTTTCATGGCCACGAGAACAAGCGCACACACCACCGCGGTCCGCACCACAGCAGTGGCTGTTTGGCCATGACCAGCAGCCCAGTCAGGCGATTTCCTGGAGTGGAGATCGTTTGGTGGACAACGGATACGCGCCACAGGCGGCGCGACCGCAGGGATGGCCAGCCCGCAATCTGTGCATCGAAGAAGGCTTCTGGGGGCCACCGGCGACGGGCGCTCGCGGCCACAAATACCTCACCTAACACCGTTCGCACTGTCCCGAATAATCTGCGTACGCAGATCCTACGCGTAGGACAACGCGTGCACGCGCCCTCGCCCCGACCAGTTTCGACACACGCAACGGATACGTCAGCAAACCTCTTACACTGCTTCCCAATTCACATCCTCGACGGGACAGGAGATTCTCCCAGCTCTGACATGAGTGCTCCCACCTCAAGGCATCTTGCCGTATTGATCCGAGCATGCTACGATTCAATTTTTTCATCAGCCCTGCCAGCCCACATGGGGACTCAGCCCAATGGGGTGGCCACCCGATCCCGAAATCACCCACCATCCACGCTTCTCTCTTTCTGGAAACTGCCGCTTTGTGTGCCAGCATCGGGTAAGTGTCTTCTCCTAGCAACAGTGAAACGCTGCGTCTTTAATGGCAGATGCAGCATTGCACAGGCAATGCATTCACGACTGCAATGTGTACCAGCCTAGATGTGTGCATAGCCCAGCGTGCTCCAAATTGTCATCTGCATGCGCTTCGATCATGTTTGCGTCTTGGTGGCCTTTCTCTTGGAACGGAGAAGATCGTCTTTTTTGATGTCGTCAATCTTCGCCGCCATGATGAAGTCATTCTCCGTTAGGCCCCCTCTCGAATGGGTCCAGAGCTCCACGGTAGCACGATTCCATCCCTGTACACATGCTGCCAGGCTTTGTTATTCACTGTCACGGCACAATTTTGCGTTCACGCTTTTACTTGTCAAAACGCGCACACAGAGAATCGCCGCCATTTTTGCGGCCACATTTACGCATTTTTACGTCTTGCCGACACTCCCAGGTTCAATGATGTCCCGAACAGTGATCAGTCCTCCACCCACTGGAGCAACGGCAACACAAGGTCCGCCTCGTCTTTCGCAAGGGCAACGACTTCGCCGAACAAAAGGACATTTTTTCCACACTTCAGAACGTCTAGCTGCCACTGCCACGACTCCCTGAGTCTGTATGTGCTGTCTTTAAGTACACAAGGCCCATTTCACGCTTTTTAAGCCTATTTACGCAGAAATAGTAAGACTATTTTTGCGTGCAAATAGGCGTAAGCACGCGAGCGTCTACACCGTAAATAACAAGCCTACATGTTGTCACAATTACTCTGTTATTCACAGTTGCTGATTGACTATTCCACTTACATGACTCACTAATGAGGGCAATAATGCAGGACATGCACTTAGAGGCAAACTTCCCCTTTTGATTCCTCCTGCCGTACTGCGATCCACAAGCAAGCCACCAAGAAAAATTCACAGCTCAAAATCACGAATATCTATATTTTAGAGCACAACCATGTTTTCAATAATTCCACCACGCTCTAAATATAAAGTGCATGTACATGTGTGCATCTGGGAAATGGATTTTTTGTTCCATGCTATTCTGTGCACATATCAATACTTCAAGTAACTTCGTGTCACAAACACGGGAACCCGCAGTGACAGGTTCTGGCAGGTTTTGCAGCTGTTAGTCTAGGCAACTAATTGCTAAAGCCCTAAGCTAGAAAGGTCCCTGGCAGGTATACCTCTTCGGTAGAACAAGGCAACCAAAATCGCCAAAAGTTCTCCATTCAAAAATTTGGAATGAGCCTCAGGCCCAAGCATTCTGTCCCCCAGAATTGTCTCTTTCACCCTTCAGCAGCAATTCACAAGCCTGCTCTTGGCAATTCCCGTTCGACCCATATGATGTACTTCAATATACAACACAACACAAATATACAAGTACGCACGATACGAGTATATGAAATACATGTATAACAAGTAATTCCCTATCGCAATTGAATCGATATGCTTGTACTGCTCGATGACACAGGTTGGGGATGAAGTTCTTGTCTGGTGTGCGTGTACGTGGCTGAGGATGCGTTGGGCTGGGTGGCTACGGCGCTTAGCGCTAGGATGCGCTTGCGAACCTATTCAATAATTATTATAAACAGTTATTCAACGATTATTTGAAAAGGTCGACTGTATTTTGCTTATTCGAACAACCCTTCACCGAAAGTCGAAACGCACACCTCCAAATGCAGATCTGGGTGGTGGCCCTCGGCCTCAGCGACTTCGCCAATTCTGCGAAACAGCTCCAGTCCCTGGACGGCAAAGTGGGAATCTTCAACGGTTGCAGGGTGGGGTGGCGTTGGGCGGGAGGCCGCACATTCCTCACATCCCAAAAACTGCCACAGACGCGGAAGGTGCAGCTCGGGACGCCGGAGCCGGCGTATGACAGGGCGCTGCGCGTTCCAACAGTGTCCCGCATGCACACAAGACAGCATTGCCTGCAGAACTGATAGTGCCGCCATCAGGGAACTAGCCACGAACGCGTTTCGGCGTCCATTGTCGTCCGTGAGACTGCCTCAGGCACTGCAGTGCATGCGCCCACGCCATGCTTGTTCGCTCGTCAGAAAGCCGATTTTGCACAGCGTCTGAACAAAGCAATCTGTTAAAGCGTGTCAAATTGCCAAATGTCGCTATTTCAATGTCCAGATGTCCAAAACATGAGACAAGGTCTGCTGATTTTAACCGTGTAGTTCTCGTTCCCATTTCTGCCAGTGGTTCCCGCCACGTGCCCATGGGCGGTTCCGGGGTGGTGCCTTGGACACCTCCATCTCTGTTTCCGGCCACTGGGCCGGTGTTTACTTCCACATCACAAAATTTAAAATTGCTGCGAGACGCGAATCCGATGCCAATGGGTGACCAATGTAACTGCAAAGTACGAGCGGACGAACCTTCAGAAAGTTCCTGCTCCTGAAATTTCTTCTTATCCGGAGTCGCTTTTCCTCATCCTCCACTATCTGCCAGCCGCTCACCTGAATCGCACCAGTCGGGTACCCATAAATATTCATCACTGTTGTCTACGTTATCGTCAATAGTGATCGCCAACGATGACAGCGCATTTTTGTCACCGACTCAAGGCAGTCGATTGCGGGGATGACGAAGGTCATTGCGTGGTATTTTCGTCGAATCGAGGTGTCTTCAAACTTTGAGCTCGGCGGCAGCGATGTCAATTGTGCGAGTGATTGTTCCAAGACCGCCTGCGCCGACGAGGTGCCAACGCATTTGCTTGACAGACGTGAAACAATGTCTTTCTGCGGAATTCGGCTTGAGATACGATCACAATCAGCAATAAAGATTTTCCAGAAAGCATCTCGCATTCCTCCGGCAGGAACTAAAGTACTGTAGCGGGAGATTCTGATACGAATTCCATGGATCCTGCAGCGTTTTGTTTCCATTGAAGAAAGTGGACTCAGAGCGCGGCCTTGGCGAATTCGGTAGCCGATCCTTTCCCATGATTCCCTGCCGTTGTGCACAGCGGCGCGCCGTTTGGCGCGTATGCCTGTGTGCATACGCAACACGGCCAATGGTCTGAGAAGATAAGGATAAGTAACAAAACAGAGCGCGGGATTTGCACTGTTTGCATTTGTCAAAAGATGACAAAGCGCAGACCACGCGCATGGAAACAATGTCTAGCATAAGTCTACTCACAGATTCGTCCACATGTGCTAAAACCCAAATCATAGCCGCCAACACCATAAATTTGTTGTCCAATAGATCCATTATATTTTCCGATTCATTTGCAGCAGCCAGTGTCATATTTAGTCACGGTAACCATATTGTGCTGTGTAATGCCAGCAACGCATTCTGAAGTCCACATGCGAACTTGTGAACAAGCGTTTCAGACAATGTAATCGATGGTACTTGGAACGTGCAGCCGCTGGAGTGCATCGTTTAATGAGGGAAGATTCCTCCATCTCCTTCACGTTTTGGGGGGCAACATTAGCATTCATTTAGTACTCGCTAGTGCCTTGCTGTGCAAGGTCTTGCAGAAGGGGTGTTGCTGAACTTGACGTGCGCCTGGATTTGGAGCAGAACTCAGCACGTGGTGTGTGCATCAGGTCGCGTTTCAATCAAATATCAGAAGGAAAGCAGTTAATGTTCATGTTAGATTCAGCCCCGTGCATTAGTCGATGTGAAAGAGGTCATACCCACTTTGAAAACGTTCACTTGATGGAGCAGAACTCAGCACGTGGTGTGTGCATCAGGTCGCGTTTCAATCAAATATCAGAAGGAAAGCAGTTAATGTTCATGTTAGATTCAGCCCCGTGCATTAGTCGATGTGAAAGAGGTCATACCCACTTTGAAAACGTTCACTTGATGGAGTCGTTCAAGTGAGGGCTGCCAAAGTGAGTTTGCTCTTATCGCTTCTGACGTGACAGTTGCATTGGCGGTCAACTGTCCCCTGTGGGAGGGGACCTAACCAAGTACAACTCTCGTTGCTTGGTAATGGCACAACGTGGGGTTCGTGGTGGCTATTTCTAAAGCCGAGTACAGTGACGTCCATGCAGACCACTGGCAAACTTTGCCTCACTCTTATCAGCCAACTTTTAAGTGGCGCTGGCTGATGATCAGAAGTCAGCGGGCACATGCCACGACCAATGCATCTTTGTTCACATTATCAAATGGAGACATACACTACTGCACCAATTAGTCACGAGTATGGTGCAGCAAAGACAGAAGCGTCAGTGCTGGCTATAGTATGGAGCTGCACCAAAACAACGGGTATACCATGTTTATGGGACAGCGAATTCCATCGTGCATATCAAGCATCTACACTACAGCACAAGCATCCACACTCTAGTATTGCCAATTAGTCACGAGTATGGTGCAGCAAAGACAGAAGCGTCAGTGCTGGCTATAGTATGGAGCTGCACCAAAACAGCGGGTATACCATGTTTATGGGACAGCGAATTCCATCGTGCATATCAAGCATCTACACTCCAGCACAAGCATCCACACTCTAGTATTGCCAACGATGAGATACTCAACGGCCAGGATCGCTGCCTCCATGTGTCAAAGCCTGCAGCAATCTTTCAGGTTGAGTCATTGCGACGTTGGATGGAAGCATTTCGGTGCACCCAGGCGATTTTGATGGACAACACATATCCTGGTCCACGCCCTCCTAAACCTCCTCCTTGGCACTGGTGGATAAGACCTACCCCATCTTAGATCCACGTATGTCACTGCCAAGGTTGCTGAGGGGCCCTTGCACTGCTCAAGATGTCTTTGTTCCCCTGAATGATCCAAAAGTATTGAAGCACCGGGTGGTCAACAACCTGGCCACCACCACCGCACGTACATGCATCACGTGGCCAACACTGTCCCCAAGGGCCAGTGCTATCAGGGGATAACATGACAGGTTTCAGGGTCGTGGGCAAGTCAGAGATCTACCAACATTGGACTCAGGATCAATTCTCTCCAACTCTGGCGCTCCATTCAGGCCCACTTACAGGGGGGGCACCTGGGCTCACAAAAACGATTTAATATTTAGGTATAAAGGAAAAGCAACTGCCAGAGCAACAAAAGCAAGAGCACACAGCTGTGGATTGCCCTTGTGTGTTTGGTAATGCTTGTTGTACAACGCATCGCAGCACACACATTGCCTCAGTCTCAACTCCAAGCTCACTCCTGTCCGCCCCGCCCAGCCTTGATATCATCATCTCCCACAACATGAAAAGGCGCCTTGCACACATATCCTGTGTTGGTAGCTCCCAGTGCATGTGCATGTTGTCCCTGCTCTCACAGAACAGACCACCGCCCGCTGCTGAGGGGCCAACAAACAACGTGGTGCCACTGGCTTGTTTGGTGTCCGGGGACCTGTGTATTCCGTATGTGCTCTCATGAAGTGGGGTTCAGCCCTCCCACTTGCTGAGCATCACCGGTCCTTGCAGCCCGCTATCAAAATGACGCTGTCTGACGGACCCAACTCGCTGGAGACACGTGCCAAAATGATTCGACTGCCGTTTTTTGCTCTGGTGCAACGGATTCAATCAATCCTCGCAACGGATTCCTTCATTCTTTCTCGAAGGATCGTGTCATTCTTTATCGTTCTTTTGATTCTTTCTCAAAGGATTCTTTTAAACGGATTTGGATTCCTTCTCGACGGATTGTGCCATTCCTTCCCCTTCCCAACGTTTTTGATTCTTTCTCAACGGAACGTGCCTTTCTTTGATTCATCCTTTCAATCTTTCATTCCGCGTGCCCGACCTGAGACAGATACTCGCCCGCCGCCTCCCTGCCTAGCGCGGCGCAGAATCCCATGTACTGCAGCGCCTCGCCGTCCTGCTCACACGCCTCGCACTTTCTCTCCGCCAGCCGCAGCGCCGCTCGGCAACACGTCCTTCCCCGAGTTCGATCTTGACAGCTGGCAGCTGAGCGGGAGGGGAACGCGGGACGCATCCCGATCCGCGAAGATTCAGAGGCCCATCGATGGGGGGAAAATGCGGAAGGCATTTGGCGACGTCCGGGTGCCGTGGGGGGGGGGGGGCGGTGGCGGCGCCCGCGTGGTCGGTGGCCGGACAGCGCAGGACGGCAGGGACTGGGGAAGGCTTGGCACGGCAACGGCTGTTGCTGAGGCACGGAGGTGGTGCTGACTCAGTGCTGTGCTGGCGCGAACCCGGCAAACACGAGATCAGTCGAGAAAATATTACTCCCCGTTCTTGTTTGCTGAGGTTCGGTTCTTGTTCCGCTGACAAGGCCAGTCCCGGTGCGTGGATCAGTAGTTGGTTTTTAGGGTGTCCGAAAATAAGAACCGAATCTCAGCAAACAAGAACGGGGAGTAATTTTATGCCAGATCAGTGGCTCTGTCCTGTCGTGTGGGTCCCATCTTGTTTCCGGACACCCTCAACCCTAAACTACTGACCCAGAGACCGGCGTTGACCTTGTCAGCGGAAGAAGAAGGGATCGTCTCGGAAAAGACGGAGGGAGTGATATGTTTGACGGATGCACGCCAATGCACGGCAGCCTAGGGCGCCAAGGGAACGCCACCGCGTTGGACTCATCGAGCCGCCGGTCCAATTCGACGACCTGACCTCGGCGCGTAACCTGGCCTCGCTCGCTCCCGAAGCTTTGCCATCCCGTTTTCGCTCCCGGCTTCACAGCGAACTGCCCTCACATCCGCGCTGGACCCCGCGCCAAGTAAAGGCAGCTGATCCGCCCGAAAGCCCACTTCCTCGCCAATCCCAAGGGGCAGTGGGCGCACCCCGGGGTATGATGGGCCCGGGGAGTACTGCTGGGCTTCGATTTCCGTACCCGCCTGTACTGCGTCCCGGTGGGTGACCGCCCCCGGGGCGCCCACCGGCGGACAAAGCGGCGTGATGCGACCGCACGGGGTTCCACAGCGCCAAGTCACATCAGGCCCGTCCCGCCCCCCGCGCGAGCGACCGCCCGGCCTAGCTATCGCGCCCGGCACCAACGGACCCCCGCTCGCGCGCCACGCCGCAGGAGCCTTCGCCTGCGCCAGGCCGACAGGTGAGCCCATCCGAACCCCAGTCGTTGATCTGCACGGCGCTCGGATTCTCGTCCGGATTCTTCTGCGCGGACTGCCACGCGGGACAGGCGGGGGCGACCTGACCCCCGGGTAGAATCGGAGCAATCCGTTGTTGGGAGAGCCGCCAGGGCGCTCCCCAAGCCGGGAGTCGTGTCAGGGAAAGGGATGACGGCAACGGCAGCGCAACCATGGACCCGCCGCGGGCGGTGCGCCCACCATCCCGCAACGGGAGCGCGCACGAGGGGCCGGCAACGTCTGGCAGTTCGCCGGAACTTCGCGATAATCTGGGCATAAAGACCAGATCCGCGGGCCGTCAGATCTCAAGGATCATTCCCCGGTCTCCGTCGCTTGCCTTCCGCCTCCCCGCGCCACCCGTGCGGCGGCCTCGGGGCGCTGCCGGCCCACGCACTGCCCCTCCCCCCGCGGCCGGTGTCGCTTGTCGCGCGGTCGGCGACGGAGCCAATCTCGCCATCTCCGCGCCAAGTGCCCCTCCTCGCTCATCCACAAACCAGGCGCCGTCGGTACCTCCAACCCCCCCTCCACCTTTCCCTTCCCCGTTCACGCTTCCATAATCGGACGCTCCGTCACCCCGTGGTCACCAACGCTCATCCCCGCCGATGCCTTCAATGCCTTCGTTCCCCGCTGAAATCACCGCCGCCCTCTGCCGCAGGTCCGCTCCCCGCCCTGAGCTATCACCCCATGGGGCTCCGCGGGGCCGCCCCTTGGGCGCCTCCCATGCTCGCCCTGGCCCTGGCCCTGGCCCTGGCGGTACTGCCGGCATCCTGCCAGGACAACGCCAGCTTGCCGGCGCCGCCGGCCCGGCCGGGGGAGGCGCCCTGGACCATCGTCCGGAGCGCCTCGCTGGCGTCCGACGCCCAGAGCGTCTGGAGCACCATTGGCGATCCCGGGTGAGTGGGCGGGGCGCCTTGCGCGGGGGCGTTGGGTGCCAGCTTGCGCCCCGTTGCCTGGGTGCCCGACGTGTTGGCGGCCTGATGCGTCAGTGCCCGTGCCTAAAGTACTGACTCAGGGGTGGGGGCGGTGCCCCAGTGTGCTGGTGTGCGTCTCCGGGCGGGCGGATCTGTTCACGGGGGCCGTGGTGTCCCTCAGGTCTGCCTTGGGGGGCGGATTACTGTTGGTTTATTTGTGTGTGTGTGTGTGGGGGGGGGCGAGTGTTGGGCGACAACTTGGCAAAAGACATTCTGGCCAAGTTATCGTACCCGTATCGGAGCCCGCTCCGGTCCAGCGCTGTGATGGGGGAGAGCGCACGTGCCTTGGGGGTCCGCCGAGTGACAATCTAGACACTCGGCTGCGGGCGGCATCCGGTTGGAATCCTTGCAGGGGATGCGCAGCTGCCTCGAATTGCGCCCATCAACTTGGCGGCTGGGCCACACAGATCTGGTCATGGCGCGAGGTCGATGGGGGCACCACGCAAACAGACGTCAAGCGCTCAATGAACTGCCTGGGGGAGACTTGCACACGCTTTTTCAAGAGCAAACGCTAGCCAGCGAGGCCGCTTTGTGCATCGGCACCGAGGTCGTTGCTGTGCATCAAGATCTGGTCCGTGGCAGCAATCGAATGTCAGGCCAATGACCCTTAGCGCCAAGCAGCACAACGGCCAGCGCAGATAGCCAGCAGTAGGCTAGGTAGGCTAGGAAGTCTGCGCCGAAGTGAGGGGCTCAGGGCTCCCGCACAGAAGCATCGCGCTCTCGTCGCCTGTGCGAAAAATGTAGCCCCAAAGAACGATGGTGGGCATCTCCCATCTGTCTTACGCCCCAGCAATCCAGTCCCCGATTTCAGGAGGCACGATTGGCCTTTGCGCTAGCTCTGTCCAAGAGCAGGGGAGCCCCTTGCCCCGTGCCCCACTGCCGCCTCGGTCGCGCAGAGGAGTTCGGGGCTCAAGACCAGCAGGCGAAGTTCGCACCGCATCGTGTTCAGTCAGCCGTATCGAGAGTTGAGGTGGCTGCACTTTTCTGCCATTTTGACAGGTTGCTATACTTGGCCAGAATGGCACTTGGCCAAATTGTCACTGACCCATTGCGAGCGGCTGAGGCCAAGTGTCTGACTAGTTGCAGTTCACAGGGTGCCGTAATGGTACTGAGATGTGGGGGATTAGAAGTGCGTTTGTCGAACGTTTCTGCTGTGAGCAACGGCGGTCGCCCCGCCTTTCCGCTCTGTTGATTGATTGGGACGCTGTGCCAACATGATGGGCGCTGATGGGACTTTGGGCAGCGGCGCGTTGACCGGGACGGGCATAAGGGGTCCCTTCTGGCGGTTCGAGCATGAAAATTGGTGACTGGAGGGCAGTTCCCTCCAGGACGCCCTTATCTTATTGCGTGTGATGGGGCGGGCCGTCGGCGCATGGAGATTTGGCGGTGGATTTGGGCGTCCCTGTGCGGCCTGCCTGTTCTGCTTGCTCGGTGTACGTAAGGCCTGGTGTCCCGGATCGGCCCGCAATGAAGATACGCTTCAGCACGGGCAGGCGGGACGAAAGGTTTGCGCACAGGACAACGGTACCGGCGGGACCGCCTCGATTAATAGTGTAGAACTCTTGAGCAACAGGAAAACAATTTGGCCTCGCTCTGAATCGGGGCCGCTCCTTGCTTCCTCGACTGAGCACGCATAGGTTGCAGAATGTCTGTGTCACGGGTTGTCACACTTTGCTGATTGCGGCTGCCAGAATGGCGAGACGCACGCAGAGTCCTTGCACACTGCAGGCGATGACAGGCGCAGATGCATCCGAACAGTGCTCGCATTGGAGATTGTGTCACGAATTGTGGACACCACAGCCCCTGTTGGGGGCAAAAGGATGGGACTCACGCAGCAAAGCGCACTGTGAACGTGTCATCCGCGTAGAATTGGGGATCGCAGGCGCTCCCAACCGTCAATCTGGGAGCTTGCGCTGCAGACAGAAAGATGGCCTGATGAATTTGCAAGTTGATCAAAACATCTCGACAGGCTTGGACTGCGGAAACAGGGTGACGGCAGCTGGGGTGAATGCGTGCTGCCTCGAACCGCGTCGTCAAGGACCAGTTTTCAAAGTGCGTCAGTTTGTCGACGATTATTCGGAGCGACAGTTTGTTTCAAAGGAGCGCACTCGCGGTTCTTTCGTTGGGGAGGGCGATGCTGTCCCTGACTGTTGGTATTTCATACATCCGAATTGTTTGCAGACCCACCACTGACCTGACACGGAAGCCGTCACTGGCGTTGACGTCGACTTTTGCCCTTGGAGCGGGCAGACAGTAGCTGACGAGTTCATAGGAGTTCATCATTGGACTGTTGAGCCACGGTTGTCAAGGAGAAAGCAATAGAAGTCAGAAAATATGCACGTTACCTGAATAATGTATTGTTGATGTAACATGAAAAATGTATTGTTCATGTATTTCCAAGGTGCAGATGACTATGTAGAAGGCTCTTTGTGTAGCCAGAAAATGTGCAGCGCTGAATTAAGGGCAGAAATGTAGAAAGTTGTGACTGGGAAATGTCCCTCAGGTGCTGTGTCGATTCCAATGCAAGCTAAGCTTGCAGCTTAGCACAGCAGAGTCTCTGGGAGGCTCGCAAAGGTGGTGTAGAACTGCATCTGTGGGAGCAACAGCACTTTTTACCATGGTCTCCCGTTGGATGCTCAGATAGCTGTCACGAGACACAGGCGCTCGTGCATGGAAGACCAAACTCTTATCGTTAAAGTTACCTTCAATTGACATAGCGGAGTCCTTGCAGGTGGAGAGTGGACGGGCATGTACACATCGAAAACGCTATCTTGACCCTCATCAATTGACTACAAAAATGGCGGCATTGTATGCCACCCCTCATGCTCTGTTCTCGAAGGGTTTTTGCTCGCTTACCTGCGAACCATCCAGCTTCTTGGGGCATGGCGTTTCGGAGTTGACAGCACGGTGTCCTTGTTGATGGTGCCCTTCTCCATTTTGCAGGGTGTTTCTGAAGGTGGCTTTCAAGCACATTACCTATTCTGTCGAATCATCCTATAGAGGCTCGTCAACCTTCATAGTTGAGCTACCAAGTGGGGAAGAGTTCTTCCTGGACCTCAAGTCCACAAACGAGGTATGCTGCCAAACTCTTTTGTTCAAGCTACCGTTAAAGACAAAAACGGGGCCCTTGCGCCTTGTTCACGACAGCAGAAGAAGAGTGTAGCCTTGGATGCCGGGATTCCCGAAATTGTGAACGTCTGCCTTTGGGTAACAGACTTGAGTGGCCATGAATGGAAATGGGACAGTGCGCAAAGCCACGGACACAACGTGCGGATTCAATGGCCTTGTGGGCAGGTACGCAGTACTCTTTGCTGCCAACACAAATGCAATGAAAGAGATGTCCTGTTTTGGAAACCAACGTTGAGTAATGATATGTTGCATGGCTTTGATTGCAGACTAACAGATATCATCATTTTCTTGTGGGTGGGCACACTGCTGGCATCTTCGACGGCCCCTCCATCGAGGGGTCTGAGCTATTCATCTCAATCACGGAAGCCAGCGACAACACTTTTGTTAATCCAGTGTTCTCAGTAGCCGAGGTCGGATGGCTCGCAGATGTGAGCCCAAAGGAAAGCGAGGAGAAAGTTAATGCTGTGATGGATGGACTACTTAGAGTGCAGGTGCGCCTACGGTTGCATGCCAGCGTCATTCAGAAGCAACAGGCGAAGTGTTGCTGGGTTCACTTTGGCGCCCACCTGTGTGTCATTGTGGGCACAAATTCTTGCACTCATTCCCGTCAGCCGATGGTCACATTGCCCACCGGACTTCCATTCAGCACAGCTTTATCAGAAACACCTCTAGCAAGGGAATGTCTTTCAAATCACTCCGGTCTTTGGGAGCGACAACTGGCTTTTTTCCAGTAAACGTCCACTGGCAGCAGATAGCCCTCTTTGGCGTTGAGAGGCGTGCCAAGCCATTTTGGATTAAATACACCTTTGCAGCATTTGATGTGCATCAGTCCCTAAGCACGCAATTGAACTGATTGCCAGGACGTCTGACATTCGACTGAAAACGGATTTAACCAAACAGAGTGCAGCCTGTGCCTTGCTTTTCCCTTGCCGATTTTGAGCGTACTCAGCTTCTCGTTCTTATCGTCCATAAGGACCTTCCACGGCGGGTGGCAGCCCAGCGTTTGCTCGTATTCCGACACCCATCAGTGCTCTTGCCTGGACACTCTCAAACACGAACTGAATTTTCTCTTCAACGCTTCCATCGCAACACATGCACAAACACGAACAAAATTGGGGCCCATCTTATTCTGATAGGGCGGGGGCGCTCCCGTGCATGGTAGCGTTTTCTTGGGATTGTTACAAATCTTGACACGCACAAACATGCATACCCGACATTGCCCCCACAAGAGCCAAAGTGAATTTTCTCTCCAGCAATTCCATCAACATCAGAAAATGCGCCAACAAGCGCAATCCTGTCTCCGCAGCTGGACAACCTGAGGGTCGAGTTCGGCGCGGCCGACTGCTTCGACGAGGGCCGCGCCTTCCACCGGTCCGTCAGCGGCGTCTGCAACAACATGGAAAACGTCGCCTGGGGCACCGCCTTCTCGCCCCTGCGCCGCCTGCCCGTGTACGACCCTCTCTACGCCGACGGCCGGTCCGCGCCCAGCGGCACGGACATCAGCGCGCGCTTCATCAGCAACGCGCTGTGCGACGCGCACGAGGACGATCCCGACAGAGGTGGGAGCTCTCAACGAGGCATCATGCTGGACGTGAAATTAGTCCCTCTGTCCTGTTTGTGATCGTCGATTCTTGTTTCGACACTCTAACCCCTAAAAACCTAAAAAGCACTGACCCGCTGATCCACGTTGGCCTTGTCAGGACAAGAAGAAGGGGTCCTCAAGAAAAGGAAGTGGGGACTAATGTGTTCTCCACCCGCTGTTGCGAGTGGCACAACTGCTAATGTTGTTAATTTATTTTGGATTCCAAAATGTTACATCGCGTGTCGGTGTCCGGGTGCCTTACCCAGCCCTGTGCTTGTGTTGTTATTGACAAGTGTGTTGTTATTTTGACGAGCGGCTTGGTTGTTGTTTTGTACTCATTATGACGTGGAGTGTGCGTAACGCATGTGCAGTGCCCTGTGGAGCGTTGTGTGGCTATTCATCCGATTGAACGCGTGGCAGGCAGTGGTAGTTATAAGAGACAATAGCTGGATGCAGCACATTCTGGCGTTGACTCCATTGCTCAGTTGGCGCGGGTTGGTCGTCACCAAATGCCTGGTTCAGATAGTGAAGTGTGCGCCACCCGTGTGCCGACCCACATATTTTGTTGTACCCCATATTATCTCGTGATCTGATGAAATGTGGCAGAAATTATTGGAGTACAAGGGAGGCTGGCCTTGATTCCGTAAATGCCACGCTTTCCCATTGATCCCAAAACGTCAGTACCCGAAAAGCATCCACACGTTTGTCGTCTTTCGGCTGCTGCGCAGTTGTGCAGTGGGGACTCTTTGTTGATAATAGGTGTTTCAAGAATTCATTCAATATTTCATCCCGGCCGCAGTCATGCCCTCCAAACTGCCGCGTCGCACAAACGCTCCTCATTGCACCAAGCCCCATGCGGTTTCTTCCGTTCACGAATGTCGCGTCACATTCAATATTTTAGAACAAAATGGTATGCGTTACGACAGCAGATTTCGGCCCATCACACGTCGATCAATGCGTGCCTTTAATGGTACACTGCCAGTTCTCAGATGTGGTTCCAAACTCATTTGGAAGCTGAAGGCATTCGCCTGTGATTAAACCAGTCATCAGTCCATTAAACCCCCGTTTTCCGATGAAGCGGTCAGGGATTGACTGAGGGCTGCAAACGGTGCATGAAAAGGCTCAACAACAAGTAATCCGTCGACTCGGCATCCAGCGCCCGCTGTACACCACACCACATTCCAATGCACCGCCCGACCACACACCGACCGCAATCTCAAATTGCGTTCCAATTCGACCCGCTAACATCGAGTCCCTGCGCTCTCCCCCAGACGACGCCCGCAACGAGCACCTCGCCACCGACATCTTCGTCTTCTTCGGCCAGTTCATCGACCACGACCTGGACCTGAGCCCCACGGGGCTGCTGGGCGACTCCCACCAGCCGCTCTTCACGGGTGGCAGCGCAAAGTTCCACGACAAGATGCCCATCCCGGTGCCGCTTGGAGACGAGTTCATGCCGGAGCTTAGGGCCATGGACTTTGAGCGGGCGGCATGGGTGCGCGAGGACAACGAGGCCGTCACGCCGCGGCAGCACCTCAACCGACTGTCGTCGTATCTGGACTTGAGTCAGGTGGGGCCCTGCCGGGGGCAACCGCTTTGCGCCGTCCGCAGCTTGGTTGGGGGCACCGTAGGTCTAAAACTCTTCCGCATAGGGAAATTTAACATTTATGCTTTGCGCTCTGCATTTTGTTTTTCAGAGCGTTACTTTTTTTGGCGTTAATCCGCAAAATTTTGTTGAAAGAGCGCTATGTATTTTATTGTTCTCTCCGCAAAAAAGGGCCAAGCGTTGCCTTATTATGCGGAATGGTTTAAAAAGCTGTGGTATCCGGTTTTCGGCGTCAGTTTTGCCTGTGCGAATTTATCGGACGTGGTTCCGAATGGGGCGCCTTCAAGCGTTTTCTGCACGGCCATTTGTCATCGCCAAATTCTGTGTTTCCAAAATCCTAAATTGGAGTGACGCTCCAAGAATAGTGTCCTTTGCAGCCGCCTTTCCACGACGCTGCTTCCGCAACTCGGATGAGTAGAAGGATTTCTGTTCAATCCTGATTCATTTCTGTGCAACAAGTATGAGTCTCATCTTTAATTCGTTTCAATACAGTTCAATCTCATCAATTTCAGTGCACATCCGATTCGTTCCGACGTATTTCAATCGCTTTCGAGGAACCACCGCGCAAAGGTGCCTCCGCCCGCCTCGGCGCCTGGCGCATGGACGCACAATCCCCCACTCACCCGTGCCATTTGTGTGACCTGTTTAATCGTGGTGTGACAATCTCAATGACATCTCATGCTCAATTTAAGCACAAAAGTAAAAAAAAAGTTGGATGAATGAATAAGTCAACAAATATATAAGCTAATTAACTGATTAAAAGGACGTGTCGAATCTCACACCGCTGCCGGCCTGCCCCAGTTGTACGGCACCACCCACATCCGCGCGGGCGTCCTGCGCGCCAAGTCCGGCGGCCTCCTGCGCACCAGCGCCGGCGACCTGCTGCCCTTCAACGGCGACGGCGGCCCCGACTCCGTGGGCCTCTCCCTGGCCAACGACCCGGATGCGTCCCCCGAATTCTACGTGGGCGGGGACGTGCGCGCCAACGAGAACATCCTGCTGACGTCCCAGCACGTGCTCTGGCTGCGCGAGCACAACCGCGTGGCGGGCGCCCTCTCGCAGGCCTTCCCGGAGTACGGCGACGAGGAGCTGTTCAACACGGCGAGGGCGATCGTGATCGCGGAGTACCAGTCGATCATCTACAACGAATGGCTGCCGCGGCTGCTGGGCCCGGGGGCCCTGCCGGCGTCGGAGTACGAGTACGACTTCACGGTGGACCCGTCAATCTCGACGTTCTTCTCCACGGCGGCCTTCCGGTTCGGCCACTCGATGGTGAACAAGTTCCTGTGGGTGGCGGCCGACGCCAACTCCGCCCTGGGCACCGCGTTCGGGCCCACGCCCACCAAGACGGTCCCGCTCCGCGACGCCTTCTTCAGCCCGCAGGCGTTCAGGGACGCCGGGACCGACGGCATCCTGCTGGGCGCCGCCTGGCACCTCGCCCCGGCCCTGGACGTCAAGATCGTCGACGACCTGCGCAACTTCCTGTTCGCCAACCTCAACGACAGTCCCGGCCAGCCCAACAAGGACCTGGCGGCGTTCAACATCCAGCGCGGGCGCGACATGGGCCTGCCGCCCTACAACAAGGCGAGGGAGGCGTTTGGGATGGCGCCTGTGCGCAGCTTCGCGGAGATCACGGGCGACGGGCGGGTGGCGCGCCTGCTGGAGGAGGTGTACGTGGAGGTGGATAACGTGGACGCGTTCATCGGCGGCCTGGCGGAGGAGCCGGTGCCGGGCGCCATGCTGGGGCCGCTGTTCTTCGCGGCGATCGAGGACCAGTTCAAGAGGCTGAGGTGCGGGCCTGCGGCGAGTATACATCAGTCCCCGGATCTTTTCCGTGCTGATGCCGTCTTCTGCTGCCGGCCAGGCCACCGCCGGTCAGTGGGTCAGTGGTTTAGGGCGCCTAAAACAAAGTTCGTGCGCCCTGTGGCCAGGGGGGCTTAAGAACCCAGTTGACGCGTATGGAGCTGGATGTGCCTGTTGTGGGGATGCTGTGTCGTTGTCTTTGTCCAGTGACGGCAGGGCAGTGTCCTGTCGTTTCCGGACTGAAACGCTTCGTCTGCCCGGGTGACAGATTGTACGGTCTTTGCCTGAAATGTCATCTTTCTCGGCCTCCGACGAAGGCCAGCTTGCACGGCTCTGCGGTCTCGCGCGGTGCTGTCCCCCTGCTTTCGCGTTTGCTTCCTTTTTCTGCCTCAGCTTTCGTATCGATTGTATTTTCTCTGTTTCTTTCAGGGTATCTTGCGTTAATTGCAATGCAAAGAAAATTTCTTTGCATTTTCCTTGCTGGCCCTTTCCTGCCATCCGCATCGTTTTTTTCCCGCAAAATTTTTGCCGGCCGCCGGTCGCTCGTTGACGGAGTCTCCTCTCGCGCCGCCCTGCAGGGACGGCGACCGCCTCTTCTACAAGAACGTTGACTTCGGCGACGAGCTGCTGCAAAGGTACCCGCCGCTCCAGGCCGTGCTGGAGGACCGGGTGACCCTTGCTGACGTCATCTCGAACAACACCAACATCCCGGCCGCCGCACTGACACGAGCCGACCGAACCTCCGTCTTCGACCTCAAGGGTCTGGACCCCAAGGTCCTGGTGCACAGCCAGGGCCGCCGCATGCTGGAGGTGTCCTCTTAAGTACTGCGTACTTTGGCCGCGCACCTGAAGGCGGGGATTTTCCCGTTTGGCGGCGGAAGCTGGGAAAGCGGACAACAAGATGATTGAAGGACGGATTTTTTTGGTGCCGCCGGCGATTGGTGAAGGCATGAGAATTTTTCCCAAGTGCTGACGACGGTTGAAGAGGGGAGGCCCTTGCGGGCGCTCGCCTGTGCACCGCGCTGCAATTTGCCGTGTACTCGTAACGCATGGATGGTGTGGGGGGGGAAAGAGGGGTTTGGGCCCGTGATCTTTGCTTCTCAGGTTTTGGAGGGTAGCACCCTGGGAGTCGCCTTCGTGTTCTGATTTTGAGCCTGGCAGTCCCCTGCGCCCTCGTGCAATATCGCCTAGAGGTCATAAAACGCGCCCTAATTAGGACACGGGATTAGGAGAGGGGGCCCGCCGTCGTGACAAGGGGTGGGGCAGGGGGGGCGTCTTTGCTGTAGCATGACAACGCTGGCTGGAGCCGCATCGGGGCTTGAGCCGGGTGCCCGCGGGGCTGTTGCGCACCGGCGCGTGTTTGCCCAAGTTAAGATAGTTGAAAATATTGAGAGCGGTGGGCGCGGCCTGCCTGGTTGGCGCGGCCTGCCTGTTTGGCGCGGCCTGCCTGGTTGGCGCGGCAGGCGGCCCGGCCCGGAGGGAAGAGCTGCCCCGGGCGTCCGCACATTTGTACATGTACTGCCGAATTCATGAGTGCCTCGTGGACTTGAACTGAAATGCGTCGCGAGCTGTAGACGAACGTTGTTTCCGTAAGGGCGCCTGTGGCGTTGGCTGGGTCCGAGTGACGTCTGTTGACCTGGCGGCGCGGTCAACTTGCATGGCCGCTGGCCGGCAGCACGGTCGACTTGCCCCATGATGGGCCTGATTTGCAATTGATCAGGTCAGAGGCTGGGAGCAATGGTTTCCAAATCGCCTGCTGAAACCATCGAGCTCGCGGGGAATGCCGTGCGTAGGATATCAAACACTGCAAGTCGAGCATGGGAATGGGAATTCAGATGCCAGAGACAAACATCACACACAGCCTGGCGCGCTAGACACTGTGGAGAGTTGGCAGGCACGCAATGAGTATTCCCGCATCGCACCGAGCTGGCCTCTCTGACCACGCGGGTAGCGAGCGGATGAATGGGACGCATGAACGACGTGTGCGACCTGTTGGCAAACACGGTGCCGTCACCCGAAGCGGCGCTCTTTCTGAAGCACCTCTTGGCGGTGATATTCGCGCCACCAGCCACAAGTGCCGCCCCCTTGAGGAGGCCCGAATTTGCTTCGGAGGTGGCGTTCTGGAGAGCCCGTCGGCATCAAGGGGACACTCGAAACAAGCCCGTCATCGCCTACAAGGTGCAGTCGAAGGCAATTTTAGAAGAGTACAGCAAAATGCCGAGCTGATCCTCGGCTTGTCTTCATGCGAAGAACGGCCGCTGCTCCTTCTCCAGCACCTTGCGCCACCGCCCCTTCCCAATCACACCCTCTTGCTCCCCAGGGGGCCTCACTCCCTGAGCGGGACGCACACTGGTCTCAGTTTGTCGATGTGCTATCCGTTGGCTAATTTTACTTCCGGTTTTTAAGGCAGTTCTGATCATGAACAAATACGAAGTCGGTCTGCCTTGGCGGAAAGGAAACCAACGATACGCTGGTATACGATACGATATGTACGCTGCTATACGATATGCTGGTTGACCCAGCTAGTTGTCGGTGGATCGAAGCGCGTCAATATCATCCAAAAGAAAAGAAGGCCCAAGTGCCCATTACTTGGATGTGATGGACACGGCGCACTGCATGAACAACGGCATTCGACCGGTGTCTAATACTTAATATGAATATAATGGAATGATCTATTCACTTCACCAGTATCGAACAGGTACTTTGCGCCGCAATGGATCGCAATCTCAGGACAAGTTGAGCCGGGCTTTCAATGCATTCGCCAACATTTGACAAGCCACAGTTGTTCTCGCTGCTCCAAAATATTACACCTCTAGCATGATGTGATGTCCTGGGCAAAAAAGGAGCCGCCCTTGCAGCCGTCAGGCCATCTCGCGCAGCGCTGCACAAAGCTGGGCAAGCCTTCCCGGGTTCAAGACGTGCAGCCAACGGGAAAGCGCGGCTATTCTGGAAATACTTGCAACGCCGAACACCGCACGCCGCAGCGAATGGGTGAAAAGGGCACACCTGTGGCTGCCGATTCATTTCAACAAGCATCGCATTCACAGCATCGTTCATGTGACACGTTATCCTTCAGAAACGCTCGCACGGTGATTCTGCTCAGACAATCAAACGCTTGTGGCGGTGGCGAGGGCCCCGCGATGATGGTGACGGGAAAGGCCATGGCCGCACAACATCAGGGTATACACAGCGGCAACGGGGCTGAGGTTTGGCAAAAGAGAGGGGATGGGGTGGGTGAGGCAGGGTAGGTTGGGGAAAGAGGAGGGTGCGTGGGTTGGGGGGAAGGGCGGTCGCAATGTGGGTGCTTCACCTGCTCCTCTGCCAAGGGGTCGGCGACAAGCCTCAGCACGCCCTCCACCAGCCCGTCTACGATGCATCTAAGCCGTTGACCCGTCTGCTTGAAGTCTGGCTCGGCGTTCGCTTCCAGCACCCAGCAGTTCCAGTCGGCGTCCACTGCAGGACAACGGACACGGCGATCTGAAAGGCATGCTGGCAACATCTGATTCTCGCAGAGTTTTGGGTCCTCCTCGCTGCGTTGACGTGTTTTCTCAGCATGTGTCTCTGTTGAGAAATAGAATCTCATTTCTGTTGCATTTGCGGAGAAACAACGAAGGTTTGGGAGGCGATGGGGCCAGTGCATGCAGCACCGTGCAGTTTGGGGCTTCGGAGTTACCATACAGAAATCTGACCACTGCTGAAGTGCACATATCTAGGCACAATTCATAATAGCTCTGCAGCCTCTGCCCCACAAAGGCACAGAGTCATTATCTGACATCCCTTTCTTGCACAACGTCAGTATTTTCTCAAGCAAAGACGAACATGACATGTATCTGACCAACATGGCATGTTATATATTCTCCCAGATCGTGGCAAAAGTGAAGTTGGCTCTGTTCATTGTGCAGAACAAAATTTCCCTTTTGCCATGATCCGGGAGCAGGATACCAGAACATATCCCTTGGCTGAGATCAATATATTCAACGTTTCAAATGTCCCTTGGGACACAGATGTTCCCCTCTCACCCATCAAGTCAAACCCAAAGAGTTCGAAGCAGTTGGGCATCGTGAAGAAATTGAGCTCTCCACTGACAGCCTCGAGGCACTCCCCAATGATGGACCGGACCGCAGTCTCAACGGCAGCCACGCGCTCCTTGGCCTTGCATATGGGAAGCCCGCCCTCAGATAGCAGCTGGCATCACAGAAGATTCAAAGTTAGGTTGAAGTCCGATCGATCGACAAGAGAAACAATGTCCCCAAAGCACACCGCACCCCCTCGCTTTGATAAGCCTGTGCAGTTTTGCATCTTCGCAGCTAATCACCTTGTGCATTTGCGAGCTTTACAAGCTCAGTTGTTCAGCCAAAACTCTCAGCTTACAGCACATCTCGAGCCAGCATGATCCCCAGCCCACAGGTGAGGTGTGCTTTCCTTGGCTACAATTTGCCCACGTTGGCCAGCCATCCGACTTGGCACCTGGAAGGCAGCAACGGGTGGTAGGCAACATGATGCTACCATCACCTTGTGGGTGTCTGCATGCCTTCACCAGTACTGAATAGAGGGGTTTGTGAGCCTTTGATCACTGCTACTAATATGGTCCCAAAGTGCTGCTGCAGTGCATGATAGTATACAAAAAGCGCTGTGACAAGCTGCTGCTCCTGGAAGCCATGATCACGATGAAGGGTGCACATAGCATGTGCATGAGCTTTGCAGATGAACACTTATTCACAACATCTAAACCCAATGTCACAAAGGGAGGGGAGGGGGGGGCAGTTGCCAGTGTTGCCAAAGAATTGTGCTCATGGCCGCTTCATTAGGAGAGTCGTTGCGCGTGCAGACAGCACTGCCCTCCACTCACAGCCTGGCCAACTGTGAATGGCTTGAAGGCATATGCAGCACATACAAAGATGGAGAAGCATGGGACAACTGCCATTTGCACCATTTCAGGACCTGTCCACTTGAACTGAAGCTATAGTACCTGTGATGATGGAGAAACAGAGTTGTTGCGTTCCTCAGTTGCTGACAAACTCCGTCAGAGTGTGTGCAGCACTGCACAATGAGACAGTGCAATTGAATTTGCACTGTGCAACAGCAGCGCTGGCAATCTGCTCTTGTACCAGAAGCTGACCAACGACAACAGGGATGCATCTCCACTTGCTCAATTGTGTCCCATACATGACAGGCTTGTGGCTACCTGCGGCAGTTCAGACAGCAGTTTGATAACTTTTTTCTCTCCTTCTTCCCCATCGAGTCCATCTTGCTGGCAGGTGTTGGTCAGGTGAGACGCGAGGTTGTCCAAGCGATTGAGGCCAGCATCGTACTCCTCACCTATGTGCAATATTTATAACCTCATTCAACATGAAATACTGCTGTCCACATCAGTTGACAACTTGGTGCGTAGCACCTTGGCATCAGATTTCTCCAACAGATGTAATGTCAGTGCTTTGCCATAGTTTGACCAATTTAACTGGACTGGCAGTCACGGGCACCACATCACTCGGCCTCGAAGTTCGACCTGGCGACTTTCTCCTTTTTCATGATTCAATGCTTGGCATGAAAAGAAGCAACCAACACCTGGTCCAGTTTGGCCAAGTGAAGTGTCCCACCACAGTTCTTTCACAGTCTTCTTGCATTCTTTGCATTTTTGCAAGCAATATTTCCCAACAACTCTTGCCTTTTCTCAAGTCACTTGCCTGCAAGCAACACGAGGACTTCGTCATACACGTAGACAGCAAGGCTGCCCACACAGAGGGCATAGGCCCGCAGGTGGAATTTGTGCCCATGGATGAGCAGGGGCGGGGTGATGTACCGCTGAATCACCCATTCCCTTATATCCTCCGCCTGTTGCACCGCCTGCTCCAGGTCGGCCACCCGGTTGAAGATGCACACAGACAGGCCCTGGTTTGTGATGGAGGGCTTGGCGATCCAGACCTCAGAGCCATCCATGGGCATATCCCTCACCTCTAACACACATGGACCAAGCTGCACTCAGGAGGTTTTGAACCATCGACGTAGTGCAGAAGTCCATGCAGACAAAACAACCGACACGCTGCTTGCTTGGCACGTTAGCGGATTCAAGCACAACATACAAAGGCCTACACCACATTTCCTGCGAATGGGCTCAGGCATTAGACTGCATTGGGCCACATTGGGTTCTTGTGACAAACACAAAAGAAGGGAAAGAATATGAGCGATCGAAGCAAAGGTGCCCTCGCTCCCATTGGCTCTTCACCAGCCAAGACCAAGACCCAAGACCCACAACCCAAGAACCAGGAATACACCATACCTCTGGGACATCATAGAGCGCCTCTTCCAGGTAGTCTGGGTGATAAACGTCCATGATGTGGGTCTCTGGCAGAGACCTGGCGATCCAGCCTTCGGGCCTTTTCAGGGACCACTTTTTCAAATTGTGCGCAAACTGGGCCTTCCGTATGAGGCCCTTGCGGATGCAGTAGCAGTTGCAATGCTGATCTCCCCTGAAAAGGCAGAGGTGGGGCAATTTACAGATCGTCTCTTTCAGCACATGGCGCATGCACGTGGCAAGCCAGGCGATGTAAAAGTGGTGAACCAGTCACAGCACGTTTACCTGAATGAATTCGACTAGCAGTACAATAAGCGCAAGGAAAAATAAACTATAAATAGCAATTTAAACAAATCAGAGAATGCCATGCTTCTGGCAGCATGCAGGGCCATCACTCTCAACACCATAGTTGAATATTACTGTGATGTCGTTCGCACTTTCCGCCTGCGCTCACACACGGTTGCTCCCAGGCACGGAAAGCAAGATGCAACCAGATGTGTTACAGAATGCTTGTTCCACTCTTGTAGTATTCGCTGCAAGCTTGTCAAACTCATGTCCCTCCCCGTCGTTCCCCATTTGCCCATATTTTTAACACCATATTTCACCATAAGAACTGCATCCTCCACGCAGTCACTTATGTACTTTGCTCGTCTTCACAATTACTGTAACGTTGGAGTTTTTATGTACGCGCACAGATCTCTCTGCGTCCACTATCGCTTGGCAGAGCAAGTGCTCTGCTTGTCATAGGCATTTGGCAACTATGAACAATGCATTTTCACGTCGAAGATCAACTCTGGTCCAGTAAGTAGCGTTCAGCACCTCCCAAAGGAACAATGGGGCATATTGATTCATTACAGTCTGACACTTGAGGCCAATGAGGATACACTTCTGAGCTCTTCAGGCACTGTACTATGGCACCTGCAGTGGTCCACTATCTGCTCAGCACGATGTTGTAACCCCACAAGTTTTTCTGGCAGGGAATTTGGCTTGCTGGCAGCCACGATGCCGAACAGGATACCATCTGTGTTGCACAGTTTGCACAGGGTACAACAATTGTGGACCATAGTACACACATGCCAACGGCCCATGCAGAAAGGCTGTGCAAACAATGCTCCTTTGGTTCAGAAGCAAAGCAGCTGGAATGTTTGTGCCGACCAACACCTGCAGAACACTACTGATACGGAATGCTGCAGCCCGTGCCTACCCTGCACCCACACCCATCCACGTTGTGAATACGGACCAGTTTGCCTACTTGGACGACGAATGCAGCAGACAAAGGAAAATTCGTCCTCTCCACCACAACCAAGCCGGACTCACCTCTCGATGGCTGACCAGTTGATCCTCTCATATTCACCCCAGTACAAAAGAGGGCCACCTCCCAAATCGTTCCGCAAATCTGCAGCTTCATCCTCCCCCGGCTCCTCACTGTGCCGGCCTTGTACCACCCACTCAGGACGACGCGAGAAGCCCTCCAGAACGAGAGATCTGCACGCAAATGCAATTCCCTCAGTAGGGAATCCACACAAGGCCCTGAAAGCAAGTGTGTTACCAAAACTGCAGTTTTTACACACAAAATTGACAAAAGACATGACCCAGATAAATCATGATGAGTGATCATATTTGTATCGCATGTGATAACCGTATCACATTCGATCATCGTCAACATTATGCAGATGTCCACGCAGTAAGGTGTCCGTACAACAATAAAAGCAGGTGTGCGAGCACTGGAAATTGTCAGCTCATTCTCGGGATCCGTGTGCCCATGGCTGCAATTCTGACTCCACCCTCATATGTGGCAAGGTGTCTAGATCCAGACATCCCCCATCCCAGGAGATTTGAATCTTTGCATTGGGTGGCTTCTTTTTGTTAAAGATGCATTCAGGAAACACAGCAACTGCCAGTGCCGCGTGAATGAGTGAGCCATTGTTGCAAAACACGAATCTCTACACTGGTGCATGGATGCATTCAAGCCCTGCGGAGGCATTGGGCTGTCTCGCGCATTGCGACTGTGGCCCCTCGGCGACCCGAACAGCGTCTCTTCACATCACCCAGCAGGCCGGAAAGGAGCGAGCGCCACCTCAGATAATCGCAGTCCAAGTCCACCACGGCCTTCAGCTTCCTCCCGTGGGGCCGATCAGGCACGCACCCCATCAGCCCCCGCTCATCCCACCACATGGCCGCCTCGCGCTGCCGGGTAGAACACCAGGGCTCGCGGCCGCCGCACGGCCGCCCTGTCTTGAAACCGAACGCGCCGGTTCCCCCGTCTGACGATCGAGCGTCCCGCAGCTGAACCGATTTGGCCCCTCAGCTGCCTCCAAGGCCACGCAAGAACGGCCTGCGTGGAAAGACAGGATTTTGGGAGCAGAGGCAACTCGGCATTACCTGGGGCTGAGCGCGTCGAAGGGGTGGCAAAAAGGCATGAAATCAGTCGCTCCGTTCTCCGTGAAGACACCTTCTTGTTTCGACGCTATGGAAATCACCTCAAGTCAAGGCCATTTATGCATCGGCCGTTGATCAACGGCCGATGAATAAATGGCCTTGATTTGAGGTGATTTCAACAACACCCTGAACTCTACACCACTGACCCACTGTCCCGCGCTAGCCTTGTCAGCGGAAGAAGAAGGAGTCTTCGCGGAAAAGACAGAGGGACAAATATGTGCCACAGAGGAACTAATGTTTCAATTGTTTTGGCCAAAATGTTCGCCATCACAGGCCTGTGCGTGCGTTTGAATGCCTACAAATTTCACAGTCTACGGGCCTGGTTGGCAGCCCGCCAATGTACACAGTACGTACTGTTCAGCTGCAGCGGACCCCCTGGCCCGTGTGTTGGGCGACCTAAGGGTGAAAATTCGAAAACTTGTGCTTCCCTGGTGCCTGGGAGTGCGTGCTTGCGGGGACGCCGCACGGCACTGAGCCTCGATGCGGATGGCGCGCCGCCTGGCGAAGAGGCTGCTGCCCCTTGCACGCGCCTGGGCTGACTCCCTCCGCGCGCCACAGCCGCCGCCGATCTCTCACAGTCTCCATTTGCCCCAATGGCGGCCGGAATCCCTCGCCGTCACGTCACCTACAATGATCGGCTCGCCGCTCCGATCGCTGAGCGGGGACCCGGGCGCTCGTCGGGAAGATCCGATTGGCGCCGCCGAGCGATCGGACGGCGGCGCTGGCGAGAGATCGGATGCTGGCGTTGGCGAAGTG